AATATTAAGTATAAAGTATAATTTATAGGATATATACTTTCTTTATAATGCCATTACATATTTCTATTTATATAGAAAGTTTCAGAGCTTTTTATTCACTTTACTTTTTTGGGATTTTATGAACTGAAAAATGACAGTTTTCGTGAGAATGACCCATTAACATATATAATACAATTAATACTTATTATTCATTTTAATATATGTTTAACTAATATTTCTAAAAATACTTAAATCCTATTTAAAAAAGTTAATCAAGTCTCATATTGATTCTAAAAAATATTAAATAGTAGCGAAATAGAGAAGAAAAATTGATAATTAAACATATTCGCTACAGCTAAAATGTATTAGCTGCGTTTTAAGTAAGCTAAAATAAACATACCAGAATATGTGAATTAAGTAAAATTGATAACATAATTTATTTCTTCATATATGAGGAGGGCTTTTTTTCCTATATGAGGACGGAACTTCTCAGAAAAATCATATTTCATTTAGTTTAAATGATTACGAACAAATCTGTTTGGTAAAGGAGCAACAACACAAGATATTGCATAATTTCATGTCCTTCGAATGAATAGTTTGTTTACATTCCATCTGTATTTGTTTTAACAATGTAAGCAGACAAGAGTATGAATAATATTTTAAAGAAAATACAAATTTCAATAATTATTTTTACCTTTGACTTTTAATAATTAATTTTTGAAAAAAAAAATATGATTTGAACATATTTATGATTTTAAAAATATACAAAAATAAACTAATTAATGAGGTTAAATGCATAAATTATTTAATATATATAAATATCAGTTATGTATATAATAAAATACCTAATGAAAGAAAAGTTTTCGGATCTGTGTGTCTCACTCATAACTCAGGAACAGTTTTGATAGAATTATGAATTTTATTCAATTTCAGTCTCAAATCTAAAAAATAAACCTTAAATTTCTTAAAATTATTCCATTTGGTGAGAACAATGTGAAAAACAAGTTTATCGCAGAAGTTAAGTATTAGGGATTGTTATAAGCTAAACTGCCCTCAAACGCTAATTATATAAAAGATAATATGAGTGTTGTTTGCTAGCTTACAGTGTAGTATAACCAGAACTAGATTTTTATACACGTTCTTCAATAATGATTTATTTTTGATTAATTACGTCATGTAAGTTCAAGCAAAATAAATTGTAGGGGGATGATGGCGATTCCGTTTGCTAAAGAACATCCTAAACCAAGAGTTTATTTTGTTTTAAATTACGCTTTTGAAACTTATTTTTGTAAACCTAATAAAAATGTAAATCAATAATAATTCAAGGGAAAAAATATTAAATTTATTTACTTAAGGGCTAAATTATCGGAAAAATGGCTTAATTTAATCTTGATTATTAAGCGTTGGCCACTATCAATAATTAATAGAATTATTTTCAGTCTCGAATAATACTGAATATAGTAAAACTTTATATTCATTGCGAACCTTTTAAAAATATGTTTGCAAAACACACACACACAAATATATATATATATATATATATATATATATATAAATAT